TAGATGACAAAGCTGGAATGGCTAGGTAACTAGATAAAAATTACGAACTTAAGTATAATTAACCTTGCTTTAAACTAAAAATTTTTATATTTCATATATTTAAGAGATCATATTAAGAAAATGAAAAAATAATTTGCTTCTCCAATGCTTTCAAAAGAGATTACCATATTAGAACAATAAGTACAATGAATAGAATACACTCTTATGTTAAAAAGTCTTTTGAAACTACAGATAGTAACGGAAAAGAAGGTGCCAGAGTTTTAAAAAAAATCAATTAATGATTATTTTCAGTAATTAGTTATTCAATAATTGCTTAAATATGTGTTAACTTTACATATCTGTTATATACTGTGCATTAAAATTGGAAACACAAGTTTGGCACATGTATTGTTTCCAGGAGAGAATCCTGGCCAAAATTTTTGAGCATGCTGAGCATGCAAGTTATAAGAATAATAGGCCTATCTCTAGCACTAAACAATAGGCAGAAACATCATTTGGTGTGAATAAAAAAGTATGGACTATTATAAAGCTCATTATCTCTACACATGAAATATATAATAAAAGAAGTATTAAAAATTGATGATAATAATTCAATTTTTGTGGGCCTTGACACTGGAGGCTCAGAGCTCCATTAGTCCCTATGTAGATCCGCCCTGTACACAATACATGTATGCTGACTGGTTACCGCAAACTTTTGATACAATCTGGCTGTGTTAAATGCTTCAAATGACATCATGCATGTGCACTTGTTTGCTGTGGCAAATCTCCACATGAGCAAGTGATCGAGTTCATGCAACCATCACACTCACTTAAAACAGCTAGCGGATAGCTGTCAATGTAAAAGCAAACATAAATATTAAAAGAGTTTACCCATTAGAATAAATTATTATTGACATATTTGTTTTCATATAAAAAGTATATTGACAGTCAAAACTTTCTCTTAAGCATGTGGCACATGCTAATCAAGCCCAGAGAATTCACCTGATTGTTTCATGCTTACTTTTAATTTAAAATAAAAATGATACTATTCTAGGAACTCTTCGGCTCTATCTAAGAAATCCTGGTTTTTGCATAGAACAAAACGTTTTTCTTTATCAGCCACTAATAGATTTAACTGATTCGTTGCCAGGAAAGATTTAACCATCTGCGTTGTCTTCAGATTGGTCCTTGTAGTTTTAAAAGAATGATTCGATACTATGGCTGTCAAAGTAGACAGGTCTAACTTAGGCTGCACTTCTGGACATTTGGTACTCTTTATGGCCGCGATAGTGGGTGGTATCAATTGTGAGTAATCCAGGTTAGGAGTAGGTATAAACTTCGGCCCTCGTGTCAAGATATGATGGATCCTCTCCAGTACCGTAATGTTTGTAAAGTTATAATAAGGAACCTCCATTGTATTAGGCTGTTTTCTGTGAGAGGTTGACCGTAACCAACAGAACTTTTTGTTCAACTTCTTCCTGGTTTGGAGAGCTTTGTTGTTGGCTATGTTTCTAATTTTATCCAATTGCTGGTATAATTTGCTTGCATCACACTGTTTTGAAAATCGTATATGGACCAGGTACACCTCCATTTCCTTGTCTGCTATTGCTTTGCGCTTGCTTCTTATTAATTTAGCCAGCAGTTTTCGTTCGGTTTGAGGTAATATGGTACGTACTTCCTTTGGGAAGGAATGATACTTGAGCTATATACACTTCGGAATAAGATGTGTTTTCCGGCACTTTAGTAAAAACCATAACTGTGCTTTTAGTCTTAACCATCTAATTCTCGTATTCAATAGAGAAAAGAAGTGTTTTCTATTATTATCCATGATATAGTATACAATGACACTTCAGGCCAACGAAGTTATTCTATGATTATAACACTTACGTGTTGTGGCGTTACAGGAGTGGAGTCTTGGAGAATGAACTCGTCCAACTTTAGAAAATGAACTCGTCCGCTAGCACTTTCAGTATTATATAACTACCGTCTTCAGGCGGTCTATCGAGTAAAACAGCTTATGATTTTCGAACACTTATCCGACGGTTTCACAAATTTCGGATATTCGAAATTTTCGAACAATATTTCCGTCGAATTAACTGATTTTTCGTATTCGAATGTTATTTAAAAATCGTGTGGAACGAAAACAGTTTTTCTTAAGCATGTTTTAGGAAGAATAAGACCGTAAAAGAGCCCAGAACATGCATAAAGTATAAGATATGTCAAAAAGACATCCGAATAGCAAAGAGTTTAACATCGTGGATTTAGTTGTTTAAAGGCTGTTATCCAAAGTTCTGGTATTTCGAGAGTTGGGGAGTTGCACGATTCAGTGGCTGAAATATAGAGACTCTCCCAAATAAATAGCTCTTTATGTTCATTGCAGCCTTTTAGTAATTTTGTTTTGTTCCAGAGTGGCTGGTAATTGTAGTCAAGCACTTTCTTTGCTAACTCTGTAACTGGCCTGCCGTTTTTGATGTCGTCTTGATGTTCAAGAATACGTGAATGTAACCTTCTAGTTGTGGCCCCTACATAACTGGTTTCTTCACCTGTCAATGCGTGTTTTAGCAGGACTTGGTAGATTCCTGATTTTTCGTTTGACTGATATCTGTCCCTATCATTGCATAGAAGTCTTCTTAGACTTGGTGGTGGTGTTATTGGTAGAACAAACCGTTAGTTCTAAACATATGCGCAATTTTTAAAGAAATGGGACCTAAATAGGGTATTGGGGGATGTGCTATTCTTAGATTTTCCTTAATAGAAAGAAAAGTTTGTGGAAATAATTTATTCTTAACATGGTTTTGAAGAAATGTAAATTTAGAGCGTGAATAACCAGCATTTAACATGGCATTATAAATGATAAATAACTCCTCTTCTACTAATGATTGAGTAGAAGGAAGAAGGTATGCCCTTCGTATTAGAGAAGAAAAAGCAGAATTTTTGTAGTGTGATGGCTGGTAAGCAGTAGCAGGTACGATTTGCAGTGCTTTATTATTTCTATGATGTACAGTGAATGTAAGCTCCGGAGACATACGTATGTCTAGATCCAGGAAGGAGATTCTATTGTTTTTTTGTTCTTCAACGGTAAAATTAATTGAAGGATAAATGGAGGCTAACATTTGTGTGAATTGTTGTAAACCCTCATTGGAGCCGTCCCACGCAATTAATAGATCATCAACGTAACGTATATACATGAGAGGATACTGGATAGTTAAGGGGGCATTAAAAACTCGATGTTCTATATTCCTCATAATCAGTTCAGCTAAAACAGGAGATAGTGGAAAACCCATTGGTACACCTTGCGTTTGTTTATATATTTTCCCATTAAATTGGAAATAATTATTACGAGTGACCAGAAAAAGAGCTTCTCGCAAGTGTAAAACATGTGATATTGGGTGACTAGTATTGAGGAATAGAGTATTTGCTAGCATGACAGCCTCGAAATGCGGGACAGACGGAAATAAAGAGATAACATCGACTTTGTAAAGTCGGTATGAATTAGAGGGGAGGTTTCCTAATTTTTGTAAGATGGTAACTTTAGCTTCAATGGAGACATGTGTTACGAATTCAGAAGGCGGAAGCAAAGAAGTTATATGTTTTGCTAGTGCAGCCTCAAGATGGTACGTGGGATGGGATCTTTTATTGACCAGTGGTCTTAGCGGCCAGGACGGTTTATGCGTTTTTACCTCGAAAAATAATCTAGGGCAGGTGACATTTTTTGGAGGATTGAGAGGACAGTCTAACGATTCCACTATTCCAGGCAAAGCTATGACTTTGCGTGCTTTTCTTAACACCGTGGAAGTAGGATCTTCTTTTAGTATGATGGATTTGGAATGTTCTAGGAACTCTTCGGCTCTATCTAAGAAATCCTGGTTTTTGCATAGAACAAAACGTTTTTCTTTATCAGCCACTAATAGATTTAACTGATTCGTTGCCAGGAAAGATTTAACCATCTGCGTTGTCTTCAGATTGGTCCTTGTAGTTTTAAAAGAATGATTCGATACTATGGCTGTCAAAGTAGACAGGTCTAACTTAGGCTGCACTTCTGGACATTTGGTACTCTTTATGGCCGCGATAGTGGGTGGTATCAATTGTGAGTAATCCAGGTTAGGAGTAGGTATAAACTTCGGCCCTCGTGTCAAGATATGATGGATCCTCTCCGGTACCGTAATGTTTGTAAAGTTATAATAAGGAACCTCCATTGTATTAGGCTGTTTTCTGTGAGAGGTTGACCGTAACCAACAGAACTTTTTGTTCAACTTCTTGGTCAACCTCTCACAGAAAACAGCCTAATACAATGGAGGTTCCTTATTATAACTTTACAAACATTACGGTACCGGAGAGGATCCATCATACCTTGACACGAGGGCCGAAGTTTATACCTACTCCTAACCTGGATTACTCACAATTGATACCACCCACTATCGCGGCCATAAAGAGTACCAAATGTCCAGAAGTGCAGCCTAAGTTAGACCTGTCTACTTTGACAGCCATAGTATCGAATCATTCTTTTAAAACTACAAGGACCGATCTGAAGACAACGCAGATGGTTAAATCTTTCCTGGCAATGAATCAGTTAAATCTATTAGTGGCTGATAAAGAAAAATGATACTGTTTTATAAAGTTTTGCTTTCCATCATTAGACAAAGTCACTGTAGATGCCAGAAACCTGTTCAAGCAGGAATGATATTTTGGACCTGCCTGACACTAGTTTACATAGGTTTGACTGTGTGTAACTTTGTACAAAAAGTAATACATTAAAATCTTTAAAAAATCAGTTTTAAACTATTCAAATCATATCAGCCAGAATTTATATTCAATCATGTTTTAATAAAATTTAATAATCATCTCTATTTAATAATAGTAACAGGTTAAATAAGTTAATATCAAAATTAAAATAATTCATTAATTAAAATTAAATCATCCCTAATTAAGTAAATATATTTGAAAACAAAAATATAATTCTATTCATATTATTGATAAATAGCAAAACGTTTTTAATTACAAAAAAGTTAAAAACAAAATACCTTTTCATTCTCATTTCTTGTAATTTAATTTCCTTCTGAAGCAATTTATGTCTATCAGCATAGAACACTTTTGGTTTATTAGCCAATAAATGCCTAAACTTTACATAATCTCTCCAAGCTTTCTGGTAGCTGTAACAGATAATAAACAATAGGTAATATTTATAAAAATGAAACTTCTAAGTCATTTTTAATCAATTTTTTTCACATATATTCTAATTATAAAACAATTAATATAAACATTTGTAATGTAAATTGAATAAATTGGACATATACTAAACATTAAATAAAATATTGATATAAAATAATATTTCCTTAATCAAATTATATTATATTATATTATAGTAATTATCAATACATAGATTTGATTTAAGTGTAAAGACTGATTATTATTAGTATTCCTTCTTGTTTGCAATCTTATTAGCTGAAAGAGTTTAAATAATCTTATATATTTGTACAAATGCATATATATTTTAAAATAGAAGGAATAAAGCAAAATAATTATTATCAAGCTGCCTTATATTTAAAGGGTGGCTAATGAATACTTTAAAATAGTTTAAATATGTTTAATATGACAGTCTTGTCATAACACAACATAATAAATGTTACATTGATAAAACAAGTATTAAAATATTTTATTTTATACAGAGATTAGCAGGTTGTCCATTAATGAATTGGACTTAACCTCATAAGTATTAAAATATTGTATAAAAAAAGACTCATTATTAAAAGAAGAATTAAACAACATTATATGATTGTAAAAAATAAAAATTTAGTTAATCAAAACACAGGATGTAAATTTGATCATTGTTGTAGTGATGTCATATATATGTCACACTTATAATGAATAAACTTAATCTGTAGTAAACAGTTTCAATTTGTCATGTGTTGGTAATGGATGATGATGTTAAGAAATTGTATAGATATTATAAGTGTTTTGTATGTATGTTTAAAATAATTTTATTTTTAGAATTTTATAATGCATTAAAATATAGTTGTAATTTTATTATAGAATTATAGTAGCAATCATTTTATCACAAGTGTATTAAGTGTTCATGGTTCACTGTAATGTCAGAGAGGTTTTTTCTCTAAGACTATTGCTTTAAATATCTTGTGAGTATGTTTGTACAGTAGAGTGTCGTTTATCCGAATCAATTGGGGACTGGGGTTGTTCGGAAAATCGATATTTCGAATAACCGATTATGTACTAAAAAATATATTAATTTATCCCGTGTTTAAATTTTTCTCCGTTGCGTGTCGCTTTGCGTTGAATTCTCGTTGATGTTAAGCCTAACAAAGACTATTGTATCGTTAAAAATTATTTTTTTATTTTGTACAAACAAAATAAATATATTGAAAAATATAAAAACAATAAAAAATTATACTTCAGAAGTTAATTTAGTATCAAAAACGTAAAATATTTGAGTAGCCGAAGACATAGCCAAAGATTACAGCACCACAGCACTGGCGAAAATTTAAATTTGTCGACTGGAATTCCTTCGGATAAATGACGCTCTACTGTATATTACTATTTGGGTTATTATATTTTACTGAAATAATTTGTACTTTTGTTGTGTAGAACTGAAGAAAGCTTAAAGTTGTTAGTAAGCCAAAATGCATTTTGATAATTTATAGTATAGAACATTGTTAAATAAAAGGCATTTTTATAGACTCTAGTTCAATTTTCTGTACTCAGATAAACAGTTGCCATTGAAGTGTGTTATGACAAGACTGTCATATTAAACATAGTTTACCTATTTTAAAGAATATATGTTTTAATGATATAAAATTAAAAATAAATTTTGTTAAATAAGTCCACTTTAAAATTACCTTGGATTTCCAGCATAACTTAACTGAGGTGGTCTTATTCCAAAATGAACAATTTCAGGATATATTCCTTTTTCTGGTTCACACTGCTCACGATCAAGTTGATCAACCCTTAATGAACATGGTTTCATGCCTGGATAGGTAACTATCATGCCACGTACTTCATCAGCATAGTCTTGCCATTTATGCTGACAAAGATCCATTAATGCTGGAAGTTTTTCATCCTTTACCAAAGCATAATTACTATTTAAGAGGTATTGTAATACAACATTCATAGAAAGTAACTCTTTGCCATTATCTATAAAATTAAATCATTGTAAATGAACAACTACATTATTTGATTTTAATTAATTTTGAAATAAAAAGTTTTAAAATATTTTTATTTACCTTCTAATGAGCGTGCAAATCTTGGCATGAAATGAACACGTGGACAACCATTAGGATCTCCATGAGCTTTCCAATCCAAATCAACCAATTCAAGAATTTCATAAAATAAATATTTAGTAAAAAGTTCTAGTCCTTCAATTGTAAAATTATCAGGAAATTTTTCTTCTATATATAATATAGTATATTCTATATTAAATCGAATTACTTTACATGTAGGCAATTTTTTCAAAGACAAATGAGAAAACATAGAAAAGCCTTCAAATATATATTCATGTCCATCATGTTTGATAATTGTTGGACACTTTGTCTATGTAAAAATATTTTAAATAAGTCTTTTATAATATTACAGTTTATCTATTGCAGGATTTTGTACTTACCAGAAAATTGGTGTGAGGAGACATTGTGATTCTATAATGATATAGTCTATCAGCATTATTGCTATTTGGGTCACATGATGGTAAATGTTCTTCTCCTGGATATATTCCATGACGAATACCTGACCGACGAGCTTTAGCACTACATCTACAAACTGGTCCATCATTCATCTAAAATATGACAAACTGAATAAGTAAATATATTCAAACTTAATAGTTCATTGCATTTATTTTCTCTTATATGAATTCATATTGATGTTAAGAATAAAAATAATGTAATGTAATGTAATGTAAAATAATGTAATAAGTAATCTTAAATAATTTGTCTTAATTTTAATAAATATTTTACATAGATTTGATTTAAGTGTAAAGACTGATTATTATTAGTATTCCTTCTTGTTTGCAATCTTATTAGCTGAAAGAGTTTAAATAATCTTATATATTTGTACAAATGCATATATATTTTAAAATAGAAGGAATAAAGCAAAATAATTATTATCAAGCTGCCTTATATTTAAAGGGTGGCTAATGAATACTTTAAAATAGTTTAAATATGTTTAATATGACAGTCTTGTCATAACACAACATAATAAATGTTACATTGATAAAACAAGTATTAAAATATTTTATTTTATACAGAGATTAGCAGGTTGTCCATTAATGAATTGGACTTAACCTCATAAGTATTAAAATATTGTATAAAAAAAGACTCATTATTAAAAGAAGAATTAAACAACATTATATGATTGTAAAAAATAAAAATTTAGTTAATCAAAACACAGGATGTAAATTTGATCATTGTTGTAGTGATGTCATATATATGTCACACTTATAATGAATAAACTTAATCTGTAGTAAACAGTTTCAATTTGTCATGTGTTGGTAATGGATGATGATGTTAAGAAATTGTATAGATATTATAAGAGTTTTGTATGTATGTTTAAAATAATTTTATTTTTAGAATTTTATAATGCATTAAAATATAGTTGTAATTTTATTATAGAATTATAGTAGCAATCATTTTATCACAAGTGTATTAAGTGTTCATGGTTCACTGTAATGTCAGAGAGGTTTTTTCTCTAAGACTATTGCTTTAAATATCTTGTGAGTATGTTTGTACAGTAGAGTGTCGTTTATCCGAATCAATTGGGGACTGGGGTTGTTCGGAAAATCGATATTTCGAATAACCGATTATGTACTAAAAAATATATTAATTTATCCCGTGTTTAAATTTTTCTCCGTTGCGTGTCGCTTTGCGTTGAATTCTCGTTGATGTTAAGCCTAACAAAGACTATTGTATCGTTAAAAATTATTTTTTTATTTTGTACAAACAAAATAAATATATTGAAAAATATAAAAACAATAAAAAATTATACTTCAGAAGTTAATTTANTACTAGCAGCCAAACTAAAAAATAAAATCAAAAATAACACTGATATTAATAAAATTAAAAATAAAGAAAAACTAGAAAAAACAGTAGTAGTATACGAGTTAAAATGTACATGCAATAAATCAGTAATTTACATAGGTGAAACAGCAAGACAGCTCAGAACCAGAGTAAAAGAACATGAAACAGCAATTTGATTAAAAAATAACCAATCACCATGGGCAGTTCATTGTAATAAATACAGTTGTTCAATTAATAATAATATTGTAAAAATAATTTACAAAGAAAAAGATAAGTATTTATGCAAAGTCAAGGAACATTTTGCAATTGTAAGTGCACATAACACCATTAATCTAAATAATAGGATGGAGATAGATGATGTGTGGGCGGACGTGGTGGGCCAAAATAACATGAAAACAGGCAAAAAACAATTAGAACAATGCCTGGAGGGTAGAAAATTGAAAAATGAAGAGAATGTTATAATGTGAATCATTTAAATGTTATATCTTTGTAATATCTGTATATTTTTACTAATTAGATATGTATTACCTGAAAAGGGGTGAAAATGAAACAAAAATTTGCATCCGAAATGCATTGTAATAAAGTGATAATGTTTTATAGACCTTAGTATGGTTTCTGTCTCTGATCAAATGCGGTTAGTAATAAAAAACAATGGTTAACTAATTGTCTTAACCTTAAAGTTTTAATTTTTTTAAGAAGTTATTTAAAAAATTGATTTTTAAGGAAAAAGATATTTGATTTTGTTCTTTATTCTTTTTACTTTTTTTTTAACTTTTAAAAAATTCTTTTTAGTTACACTCATGTAATCAGAACCTTATCTACATCAATTTTAACAGGGCAGATTTTAATCAGAAGACAACTTTATTCTTATTTATTTCTATTACAATTATGTATTTCAGACCAGAAATCCTAGCTAGTCCCTCTTTAGACTATAAAAAAATAAACAGTTATCAATATTATTATAATCATATAACAATATAAATTTTCATCATTTTTCAAACTTACTTATTCTTATATTTAGACAAAATTCTAATTTTATTTTTTTTATCATCATTTGTTGCATTTCTCTCTCAAAAACTTAAAATTAATTAAATATAAATGTACTTTACAATTAGTTGAAAAATTTTTTGGTGAAAGTTTAAGATTTAACCAAAAAGCTGTTCAGCTAATTTTTCAGCTAAAATTAGGATTTGTATGTTTATATTTGTAGATAGTCAAATCCCTATCAATCACATGTGCAATACTATGGCATTTCTGTAAGACTATTTCATCCAAATCTGTGTTAAGATCCACCTTTTTATGAATTTTCAATCCATTTTTGACTATAGTTTGCCTGTCTGTCTATGATTGCCCCATCCTTCTAAATAAGACCAATAAAGACACTCAAAATATATACTTTCTTCTAAATAAATTCAGCAACTTTCCCTATACCAATAATTCCATAGTTGCATGAATGTAACTCAGATTACCTGACCTTATTAAACAAAATATTTTGACTGTTTATTATATTTCAAATTTTATAATGGTATAATACATAGCTATTGACTTTGTCTTAGAGTTTTCAATATGAGAACCCATAATAATTCTTGTCTATATACTCCACATTATCATCTGCCTGATCATCATTACCATCTCACTAATCATACTTTTATCATGTAGCTGTTAAATCGAGACCTACAGAATACATATTGCATCAAGATTATACCTGCTTTAAAAGTATAAGCAAATGTATTTTATATAATATTTAATTTAATAATTAACTTATTCATTTGATCAACTTTAATCAATATTATTTGTGCTTTAATTTTTATTTTTCTTCATGTAATTTTTAATTCTACCAAATGTTTTTCATTTATGTATTCCTAGTTGCATGTATTTATATAATGTCATCACTTTAAATATAACATATATATAAATACATGTATACATATAATTTTATTATTTTTTATAATAAAATTCTTACTACTATATTTTTAACTTTTCTTAGTTGTTTTCTATGATATTTTACTTTATAATGAGGGTATAATTGTTAATATGGAGTGAAAATTCACTGTCTATGGACATTTCCATTCAATTGTAAAATAAATTAATAAATAAATAATTAAATTATTAGAATGTTATTTATGTTCCAATTTTTATTTCATTCTAAACTTCCAAACTTATTTATAATTTTATTCTAACATCACGATTGTAATCTGATGTTAGAATAGAACAACTTGTTAAATATATTGAAAATTATTTGTTTCAATAAAAGTATTTTTGTTTTTATTGCAACTTATATTTATTCAGTTTTTTGTTACTGTGCTGAATGGATAATTGGTGGATAATATATATATATATATATATTATATAATCTGCTCATGTGCCAAATTGATTAACTCCACAAAACAAAAATTATAAAAATTGATAATATACATTGGCTTGTGAATGGCTCAATTATGGCGCACACAAATTGCAAACTATCAATCAAAAATAATAATTTATTTATTACTACACTTGAAAGTAATGTGATTTTGTGTTTATGTTATTCTGTTTCCATGTAAAANGTGGCTGTGTACTATGCCGGACTAGAGTCAAGGCATAGCAACCAAAAACTAAAATTAAATAACTATGTCAGTGTCTGTATTCAGGAATTTCCGAACAGTGTGGCATGTATTCAATATAGTGGCCTCCTGTAGTGTGATGTATGTATGTATTTCTACTCAATTGTAATGTTCCCAGGCTATTGTGTAGTGTGTGTGGTATGACACCTGTAGAAGATAAGGCATCTGTGGAGGTACAATAAGCACCCTATCCATCCTCCACAGATGCCTTATTTCCTGGGCAAGTTCTGTGTACTTGCTAATTTTTTCAATACATGTGTTTTGTACATTGTGAGTGTTTGAAATGGCTGTCTATAAAGTATGTGATTTTATTGTGTTTGTCAATGAGTGTGATGTCTGGTCTGTTGTGGTAAATTGTTTTATCTGTGATTACGGCTCTGTTGTAATACATTTTGTGCACGTCATTTTCCAATACTGTCTGTGGAATGTATTTGTAGTATGGTTTGTGAATGTCTACCAATTTGTGTTTCTTTGCAAGCTCTTGGTGTATTATATTTGCTACTTGATTGTGTCTGTGTAAATAATCTGTCTGTGCCAAGAGCTTGCAACCAGATGTAATGTATTGTATAGTTTCTGGCATAATGTGACATTTTCTGCATGTGTCATTTGTGAGTGTTATATCTTTGAGTATGTGTTTTCTGTAGTTTTTAGTATTTATGACCTGATCCTGTATGGCAACCATGAATCCTTTTGTCTCCCCAAAGAGGCATTCCCGATCTAACCAGCTATTTGACGCAGTTTTGTCAACAAAATCCTGGGCCAGGTCATAAGGAGTGTCTTTTGAGCCCATGATTGCTTAATGGTGTCTATGCTTTTTATATGTTGTGAGTGTAAATTTAATGGTGTATTATTTGAGCCTGCTAGAGTTACTGCTTTATGTAACTGTGATGTTTCTTGCTTTTTGTAGAAAAACTCTCTCAGTGTCTGTGTTTGTAGTGAAGGTTAACTATATCGATCAGACCACATCCGCCATCTTTACGTGGAAGAATTAATCTTTCTGTGGCGTATTTAGGATGATGATGTTTATGCTTAGTAAGTGTTGTTCTTGTTTTCCTTTGGAGTTGCTCGAGATCTGTGTGAGTCCAATGTATAACTCCAAAAGAGTATGTGAGTACTGGGATGACATATGTGTTTATTGCTTTAACTGTGTGTTTTGCATT